TGCTCCCTCCCCCCCCCCCCCCCCCCCCCCCTCCCTCCCCTTTTGGCGAAAAACAGCGCATCGAGCAGCTGATAGCTAGCGTGAAGGAGGCGCAGGAGCGCGAGGTGCCAGAGCTGGTGACGAGGCTGGCGGCGATAGAGGAGTTCCAGGCCGCCGGGGAGAAGGTGCGACCTCGGCAGTTGGTTACCAATATTTAATGTAGTCTTGTTGGAATTTCCAGTGGGAATTTTTTTCGTGTTTCATTTTTGTGACTTCTGTGTGTGGTAGCCTTATTGGCAACGTACTTGTATGCATATCTTGTTTTTATTGCGCGCGGCTCATTCTATTGGTTTGAGCGGTAACCTTGTTGTCACGTATGCATGTCTTCTTTTTTGTTGCGCGCGGCTCAATCTGATGGTTTGAAGTCTCCCCCCGACCCTCTGCTTAAGACGAGGTATTTCGTCCACAAGGGACTGTTCTCGTTGCACCGTGGACTCGGCTCTTTTGGTAAGGTTGGCATTTCCGTGTATCCACGATGACAAGGGGCGACACAGCAGAATCGGTGACGACGATCCCATCCCCCGCTGCAAATGCCACAGGATCACACCTTCGCCGCATACTGCTTCCTAATGCCCTCTCAGGGCGCCACAACGCTGCTGCATTTCACAACTGTCCATTCACAAAGTGTTATGAGTCAATTGTCCCGCCTCTTTTTCCACCAACCCAAGCAAAACTGACCAATCTGAGCGCGATGCCTTTTTGTTTTTTTTCATCTCGTCCAGGTGACGGCGATGCGGCGTCGGCAGGAGGACGCTCGCAAGCGGCTGACCGAGGCGTTTTCGGCCATGTCGGCCTATATCCAGCGTTACCGGTGTCAGGAATCGGAGTTCGATCTCGGGGCGGCGCTCATGAATCCGATGGCGGACTGTGAGTTACGCTTAGGTCGCATGGACGCCTTGTTGTTGTTGTTGTTGGCTCTATTTGTTGGGTTGCATGTAGTTCCGATCTGCTCAGAAAGCGTGTGCTGTCATCGTCGCGTCATGCCCCCCGCGCCCCTTCTCCCTTGCCCACTCACATTGAAAGACACAGGCATGGCGGACATGCAAGACAGAAGTATCTGCTGCCGCCGCCCGTCACCTCCAACAAGTGGCTTCGAGCCGTCAATCCCTCTGAAAATCCTTGTTCGCTTGTTTCTGTATGCATTGATGACGGCAACGGTGTACTATCACGGCATTTTTTCTTTGCAATCAATTGTCCGAAAAAAATCAGGCATCGCGGAAGTGCAGGACAAGCACGCGATCGTCCGGAACCTGCACCAGGAAAACAAGGACCTGGACTTAGAGTTCGACAAGACTCTCGGGCGGTACGTGGCCAGCGTCGAAGACTTCGTCGCCAAGCACTCGGTGCAGCAGCAGCAGCAGCAGCAGCAGCAGCAGCAGCAGCAGCAGCAGCAGCAGCGGCGGCGACCGGCCGACCGGGGAGGTGGCGGCGGCGGCGATGGCAACAGCAACGGCATGGGTGCGAGCAACGGCCAGGTAACCCAAACGGCGTCTTGCTTTTCACTTGAAAAATGTATTGACTTCGATCACATCTTCCACTTCCTTGATGTATTGAAACTTCGAACATTTCACTTGATTTGATGTTTTTGTGTGCCGTTTTATGTCCGTGAGAAAACTCTGCAAAGCATGTGTCGGCAAGGTGCTCGACTACCTCGGTGCTCTCTCTTGTTGCCTGGTTTGACCCTCATGATACGGGCGCGATACAGGCGCTAGTTACATGTAAAGAGGCCGACGCGTGTTGAGGAGGCAGGTTCTCCTCCTCTCAAGCCATGCGCGGCCGTTTTTTCGCCGATATGCCCGAGTTATTTTCTTGAGCCATGTGTTTGCAAGAGGACCCCGCGTGTCCGGCGCACTCCCCGCCCTCCTCCAGACCCAGCGATTTTTTCCCGCCTGGTCGGGTTCCTACATTTGCTAGAGGGCGGACTTCCCCCACAACGGTACGCAACCCCCCCCCCCCCCCCCCCCCCCCCCCCCCCCCCCCCCCCCCCCCCCCCCCCCCCCC